AGTAGCATTACGAGAACATCTATGTTGGGATTATGATGGAGCGAAGTAGACAAAATAGTTCATTGACATCAAACAAAATTCTTTTTTATAAAAAGAAAAAGACGTCCGATCCAGCTCATACAAATGCATTTCTCTATTTTATTTCGTGTGAAACTTATCGTGGATTGTTGTTGCATTGCTAGAATCATTTAGATTCAAGAATTGTTGTTAAGAGTTTCTGAGTATCTCGATCACATATTAAGATGGGACGGTTGATTAATTAATCCTAGTATAATTTGGGAATATGTTTTCAAAAAAGTACTACGACAAATAGAGCCCGTTTGGAGAACTCTGTTTTCGGCTTATCAGGCTTATCAGCCAGCTTTTTTACCAAACACGTAATTTTTACTTTCGCGCACTGAATTGTGTAATAAGCCGAAAAAGTAAGGTTGGAGTTACTTTTCTGGTTGTATTGGCTGAAGTTACTGTAGAGGACCATTTTAGCTATTTTTACATATAATTTTTTCTTTAATTTATTAATAAAATATATTTTTAAAATATTTTTTTCTTAAATCAGCAGAATCAGCCAAAACAGCCACTCCAGCCAGAATATCATAAATTTCAGCAGAATCAGCCAAAACAGCCGATTTTGGTGCTACCAAACGGCCTCATAGTGTAATAATAATGGTATAAGAGCAACTGCTATGGAGGGAGTATTAGAGTATGAAGTCATAAGCCCAGATTTCGAATGTCGTCGAGATTAATATGTACTTTTGTAAGTACTTTGATCAGTGTCTCTCACATTATCAGTTAGTTTGTGATTAAAATACAGTTTACATCCTCTCAATTAATTGTCTTACTGATGTTGAGCTTCTCCGGAATTGAGTGTCATCTTATAATGAAATTGGAGAATATTACATGACCAATCATCGGCATATGACATCCACGTGTCTTCATATTTTCGCACGATTAACTTTATTGATTAATTAATGAATTCATCTTGGTAGAAAAGTAAATCTGATTTATGGATAGAACTAAACTCAAATCATTCACGTCGTATGATTCTTTTTTAAATCCAATCCATCATTTCAGTGTAACAATAAAATTCCTAAATTGATTTCATAGTATATCAATTAGCTCTCATAAAGATTTGCTTCTTTTGTAGGCTAATAGGCTATTGTGTTATAATAGTGCTACTTGTCTTTGAATTGCAATACTGCATCTTCGCATGATTGTTTTTGGGTGAAACTCGATATGGGAAACTATTCTCTGTATGTCAACTACATATGCCATGTATATAATTCTTTTATCTATATATGCAAAAGTAATTCTTTTATCTATATGCAAAAGAAGATATTTTGAGAAGTATTTGAGATCAATTGATTTTGATTAAACTATGAATAACCATTTTAGAATTATGTGTCACACAGAGAAATCTGTGATGCTAGTAGATTTGGTTGCTACTACTTCTGATCTGGTCGGTAGAAGTTTCAAATTCGCTCGTAAGGATTTATTCCTCTTTGTAATTAAGTAGTTAGTAGCAAAATTCTGATTGCTAAGATTTCTTACTACTCGGAAGGTTTAGAATCTCTTTTGAACGTGTACACACTTAAAGTGAATATCAAGATCTTGGTATTGCGCTGATCCACGCACACACTAGGTTCGAGGGATTTTGGATTCTCCCCGTCTCTTTAAGAAGAGCCATGGAATTTAGAATACAAGTGATTCAATTCTTAGCGCTTATAATCATATTTATATACTCCCCCGTCCCAAAAAGGTTAGCCAAAGTTGACTTTCACGTAGATTAATAAAGTAAAAACTGTGTGGTTGAAATTTGTGAAGAGGAGAGAAAAATTAATTTAGCCACATATTCCTTACTTTAAATGGAAATGACAAATCTTTTTGGTACATCCAAAAAAGGAAATTTGGCCAACCTTTTCGGTACGGAGGGAGTATAATGAGAGTGATTGAAATTTTGAAATACAAATAGAAATCAATTGGAGCCAAAATAAGTGATTTTTTGTTGTTTCAATTAATGAACCATCACTTAATTATTCTATAATTAATAACAATCAAGGATTAATTACAAATGTAATTAATGTTTCTAAGATATAAGTAAATATAAGAAAATTGAGAATAAAGACAATAAATATTAATGAAACAAATACAGAAACATTGGAAACTTAAAAATGCACAATTAATTAAGAAACATAACAAAAAAAAGTTAGAAAAATGAAATGTTCCAATTTAAAAGTCTAAAAAATGTACATCCTTCCATATTTTAAAAGTATTTATATAATTAAGAAGGTGTTAGATGTATCTTTTTTCTTATAACACTTTTTTGTGCAGAATTTTAATAGGGTAATTATTAAAAATTCTTTTTAGGTAAAAGTAACACTCTTTGTTTTCCCGGAGATTTTTAACTTCTTCATTTCTACTTAAATTTATCCTTTTAGTGCATGTGGTGATATGGATGAAACGAGAGATTTTGGATCAAATAAAAAGAAGTCAAAATATGTAAAATGAGAATGATTTTTCATGCATATGGTAATATGTACTACAGGTATAAGATTAGCTTTAAAACACGGTTACAAAAAAAATAGATATTTAAAGTAAAAGATTAAGAATTTTTTATGTTGACTAGAGAATAGTGGACGTGAACCTTTGTAGCTATCATGTTAAAATTGGATAATGATGATTACTCCTATACGGGAATTGGGAAATGAATGATTTAAAGCTTACAAATGTAATTTTAATTTATAAATGTGATTCTAATGGTGAAAATATATTTTTTGGGAAAATAGATGAATCTTTGAAACTATAATACTCCGTATATAAAATTATTTTTGACAAACTATATTATTTTATATGGTTGAGTCAGTTTTCTTAGCTATAAAACTAATTTTTGTTTTTCTTTGTTTTCTTTCTGCACTTTATTTTGTGTAGATGATGATGTCCGGCCAATATGCTTGGTGGAGAAAGCGCTCGGTTAGTTCACTTAGATTAGTTATTTGGTTGAACATTTATTTAAGGGAAAACTATCAAATAAGCCCCCGTACTATGCCAAAAAAGTCGATTAGGCCCTCGTACTTTACAAACACTCAATTAAGTCCTCGAACTATTAAATAACGTTCAATTAAGCCCTTTCGATCGGTAAGTAACCGGTTTCCCGGTTAAATGGTGACGAAGACGACGATGTGCTCGAATCCCAGCAACGGCGGCTGCCGGGAAACGGATTACATTTAACTGGGAAACCGATTACTTACCGACCAAAAGGGATTAATTGAACGTTTTTTAATAGTTCGAGGACTTAATTGAGTGTTTGTAAAGTACGAGGGCCTAATCGACTTTTTCGGTATAGTTCGGGGGCTTATTTGATAGTTTGAATTTATGAGAACATGTAGACCATTTATTGCTTTGAGTTTAAATACTTAAATACTTGTTTTTAATGGGTTTTTACATAAATATTACCATAATAAAACACGTTTACATAAGTATGACTAATAGTTGCTACAATGTAGAATCATAGTAACTTAAGGTTCAAAAATTAAGCATAAGTTACTATGATTTCATTACTACTTTAGTTCACTAGTCATATTTTTGTAATCAATCTTAAATTTAGTCATAAATATGTAATTATTTCTTTTAATTAAGATTGTGACTTAGCTTGTGCACTCGGTTAAGTGAGAATCAAGTGTAGCAATAAGAATGTTCTTACTTGGACTGAAATTTGCTGGACTGATCTGATCTGGTTTGTTCAAGTTTGGTTTGGTCTAGTCTAGTCTGGTCTGGTAAATGTCTGGTCTTTGTGTATTTTATAGCTACGAAAGTCTGGTCTGGTCTGAACTATTGATCTGGTTTAGTGGTGGACCGGCCTCGGTCCGGTTCCAGTTCGGGCCTAGGCCCAGCCGGGCCTGGAAGGTATTGGGACCGGCCCGGGAGGCTACCGGTTCCGAGCCAGGCCGGTTCCGAGCCAAGCCGGTTCCGTTTTTTTTCTTATTTATTTCAACCCCTACACATCCCCCCCACCCCCAAAGCCCCCGGATTTACCCATCCCAGCCCATCTAAACCCAGCCCAAAGCCCAAAAAATGGCCCGAGCCGGGCCCGGACAGGCCGGGCCGGTTCGTGTTTTTGGTGTACCGGAACTGCCCCCGTTACCCCCTCGGGCTGGGCCTAGGCCCGGAACCGGTTTCCCGGGCCGGGCCCGCACAGTAACGGGCCGGGTCGGTTCCCGGGCCGGTCAGACCGGACCGGGTCCATGACTAATCTAGTTTGTTTAAGTCTTGTCTGGGACTGAAAACAGTCCTAGTAAAAACATAAAGGGTTGGTTTGCAACTCCTTTTAAAAAAAACACTTCTCAACTATTGGATTTAAAAAAGCACTTATTTTCCCAAACACTACAACTTTTATTTTTCTCGGCTTCCGCGTCAAAAGTGCTTTTACTTTTTCTATTACACAAAAAGCACTTATTATACCAAACACTACCCACTTTTACTTTTCAAAAATCACTTTTTTCTCAAACACTATCAACTTTTATTTAATCATTTCTCCCCATTTCATTAAAAAAACACTTTTTAAAACCAGAAGCTGTTGCAAACAGACCCAAAGTAAATTCACTATTTAGTGTACATCTTCGTAAGAATTTGGAGGTCTTATAGTATACTACGGAGTATTTTGTACTTGTGAATGTAAAATATTCAAATTTTGTAAACGAAATGTAAACAATTTTGAAAATGAGAACGAAAAGTACTCATACTCAGGGACGGATCTAGTAAGGTAATAGGGGGCAGCTGCCCCCAATAACAACCCACTAAGGCAGTGTTTTCCTTTGATTGTGAAAAGCACTTTTGGCTTTTTTTTAAAAAAAAGCTGTTTGTAGTGTTTGCAAAAGGATGCTTTGGCTTTTATAAAAGTGCTTTTGGGGTAGAAGTTGGAAGCTATTCCAGCCTGCTTCTATCTGCTTCTACCATCTCATTTATCCCTAATACCCAACTTTACCCTTCTCCCATCCCCAATATCCAACGCAGCCTCCTCGAGTCCTCGATACCTATCAGAAAAATTTCTTCTCTGCGTCGCACGGCCCCAGCGTGTTAAGCGAAGGCTGCTCCAGCGGTAAAGCTCTCGTTCTCTCCGTCTCTATACCGAATCATCCGTAGGTCATCTTGGATTGAGAGGTTAGTTCTCTGCATTTTTTTTTTCAGTAAAGCACTTCATCTTGGATCTAGTAGTTAGGTCATGAAGAAATTTGATTTGTGGCTCGGCTGAAATAGAAATACGGTGAGCGTGGTCAGTAATAAAATGGTATAGATTTGATCTTAGCCAACCGGAGCTTGGATTGTTTAGTATTGCAAAAAATTTTAATTTTTTTAATTTATAATTTTAGCTTGGATTGTTCAGTATTGCTTTGATCTTAGCCAACCTGAGCTATGAATTAATCACCTGCTAATGACGTTATCATCAAATAAGTTCCACTCCACATAGTGTATACATATAGAGTATTTACGTATGTTTTTGTAGTTCATTCCCACCTATAGATATGTTGTTCAAGGTCACTAATCAACTTTTCTTATTAGCAGTTTCTGTTTCTTTCCTATAAGTATACTGTTTCTTCACATACTTTACACTTTTTTTATAAACCAATAAATATGTAAGAAGCTCATTGGTTGATTTTTTTTAACAAGCTATCTTCACATACTGTTTCTATAAGAAGTGAGCTATCTTCACAAGAAGTGAGCTATTATAAGATAGCTTCTTATAAGAAAGCTATCTTCATTACTTCTTCACAGATTTTATTACTTTTGTTAAAAGAAGCTATCTTCACATACTGTTTCTTCACATACTTCTTAAGATAGCAAACTGTTTACCCTTATAATTAAAACTGATTTTAAGGAACTTAAGAGTAATAGTAACTAACTAATACGACTCAATGTTTAAATCAAAACAATACTGAACCCTCTAAGTGTAATGTTTTTCGATCCTCATTATAAAGAACTTTTAAATTTTTCTATCACCCTAAAAGATAGTAACAAACATATCTAACTGATTTATTAACTTTTTACTTTTAACTAAATTTTGGAACAACACTAAACCCTCTGACTTTTATAGAAAAACAATACAGAACCCTCTAACTTCTAAATTTTTATAAAACAAGTCTGAACCCTCTAGCTTTTAACTTTTAAAAGTAACATCAACACTATTTACGAACTGATTTTTTATACAGATAGTAACAAACCTATCTAACTGATTTATTCCTTCAATGCAATGTATATATATTTATTCATTTGATGTAGTCATTTATATTTTCAATATATATTTGTGTATATTTATGGATAGTACAAAAATTATAGTTAATATAGTAATTTAATATACTATATTAACTAGTTTTTAATATACTATATCCTCCTAGTTTTTAATATACCAGTAATTTAATATTTATTTAACTAGTTAATTAGTTAATATAGTTAACTAGTTTACTAGTTAATATTTTTTTTTTTTTATTTAAGGTTTATATTAATTATTGCCAAAAAGAGTGCTCAAACCCATCTCATTACAATTTCATTAAAAGATGTAAATTAAAGGATAGAAAATACATCATCAAAGTCAGCTAGTGAAGCAAACAGAGTAGAAGTACGATATGTACAGCAAAATCAACAAACGTTACATTCACATACTTCATATATAGTAGAGACTAGGAGCCCAAAACTGCCCAAAATTACATGTTCTTGTCATGCATGAGCATGCTTAAAGCGATGGGACAATGCCAAACGATGAAGTGTCAGCTGCAATAAGGGAGTCGACTTTGGCCTCGGAGCGCTTGGCGAACCTTCCTTTGATCCTGGGTCGCGTCTCGGCATATGCCTTTCTAGAAGCGTATCTTATAGTTTTCTCATGCTGTAATATATATTAATACTAGTTAATATATAATAACTAGTTCCTTCTATTGGTATTTCAATATTTTAAAATGTACTAACTAGTTTTTTTTCAAATGTATACTTCTATATATTTATAGGTAAATATTACCTAGTGGATGCAGGATATCCGAATATCACTGGATTCTTATCTCCGTATAAAGGGAAAAAGTACCACATCCCTGATTTTAAAAGGTCTTCATCTTATAACAATCACTTTGAAGTATTTAATCACGTGCATTCATCAATGCGGTCGGTCATTGAAAGATCTTTTGGAGTGTGGAAAAAGAAATTTCAAATCATGGATTACATGCCAGTCAATATTAGTTGGACTGATCAAATCTCCCTTGTACCGGCAACCATGGCTATTCACAATTTTATTCGAAAGAACGACCGAATGGATGATGATTTTCTTGAAGCGGAGCAAAAGGATGATCAAGCAAGTAACGATGAGGAAACAGACGACTGCGATGATGTGCAAACACATCACAGTGAAGTCGGTGATGATGCTATGAACAAATTGAGGGATGACATTTGCGCATCAATAACATTTGGCAGAATTGGTGTTCCAATGTATTAGTACTTATTTGTATTCATATGTAATTCTCCTGTTTGTGCATCAAGAAAATGCAAGTATTTTGTACTCCAACCATATGTTATTAACAATTTCCATTTTGTATTAATGTAAGATATTGCAATCTGGAATTTTGTTTATCCAAAAGTGTATTTGGTTGTAATGAGGTTTTAATCCAAGCCCGATACAATTTGGTTTTAATACAATTTGCATTTTGTCCTAGATTTTAAACAGTAGTGTATTTGATTATTCTTGAATTCAACTGATATATACTCCCTAAATAAAGCAGTACCTTGAATTACACAAAAAGCACACAAAAAGATGTGTTCAACTTAAATTACATAGATAAAAGTATACTGTCAAAACGACACTACTAAAAGTACAATACAGAGTACATAACCAGCCCCTTAGAGAGTATTTTTAGCCAACCTAAAAAGTTAATACAGATAGTGTACATTAGAAAATAGTACACTAAAATTCACAACCATCCGGTTAACATCAAAATAAGCAAAAAAAAGGTTATGATCGTTCTTAGGTTGTCTAAACGTAGTTACATATAAATCATAACTAGTTTAGTACATACTACACTTCACGTGAACCCCCAGTTCAAGGCCAGATCGATGAAGCTCCAGATGAAAATTCACTCGGATTATCATCGTGAATTTGTGGCAACACAATGTTTCTGTTGGCAACATCTGATTGTTCATCCTTGACCTCACTGTCCTCTTCATCTTCTGTATCATCAATGATTATTACTTGAGATGGAGATTTAGGTTTGCGGTACATAGCAGTTTTGGCAAGAATAGCTAATTCTTGGTGCGCGTTCTCTTTGAAGCAGCAAGTGAAAAGTCTTAAAAAGTTCAAGCCATAGGTTTTCAGGTCCGCTCTTATACTTCCAGGCAGTTGGGTGTTTCTGCAATCACAAAGGTATTTATGGACAGTTTTGTATATTAAAAGATAACATTACAGTTTACTCCAATCTTTGTAAAGTGAAAAGAATAAAGAAGGGAAAAACCTTTATGACCGCTTCCCATGTCTGCTCCTCCGCTTCAAATTGATTAGTGCGCACATTCAGATGCACACCTGGCCAACACATCAAAACATTCACCAAGTCGAACCTACTCCTAAAAGAAATGCATTTTCTTTTCACTTTCTCCAAAGTGAATGGTTTCCCAAATTCTTTTATGACCATTGAAACAATCTCTGTCAAAACATCCGTCCTAAAAGTGTTACCATCAAATAGCTTTTCTTCTTCTACAAAACCAATCATTTGATCAAGTAGAAACTTCTCCTCGCTAGTTGTCCACGAGTACATCTCAAACATTTCATCGACTTTGAGAGCACCCATCTTTGCCATTTTGATACCTAATGAACAAGCATAATTGATGTGCAATTTGAGATTGGTACATACAGAGAAAGCCAATAAGATTTTGTGATATAAACCTTTTTGGGTTACAACAGTTAATTGCTAATTCAACTCAAGGTCTAACCCATTGTTTTTTCATTATTTTTCCAATGGGGACTATTACCCCCCCCCCCCCCCCCCCCTATGGACAACCATAGCATTTTGAACCTAACCGGTTGGCCACTTGCATATTGAACTCCCTCTTTCCTGAAACTAAAAGTTGAAATAAAGCAACTACACTTACAAGTTTGGGTGAGACAAAGGTATTAAATCTAATACAGTAGCTACTTCAATCAAGGTATTATTAACTAATTATACTATCACTAATTCTAGGATGTAGGACTCTAAGATAACACCACATTCGATCACTCATTCATGATTTTTTTTGGTTAAATTCAAATTGCAAGGAAGCAATACGTGTGAAATGAAATCAACTACCAAATTACACCCCTTATTTGCACCATGTTGCAACTCAAAGTCAACTTAAAATATGTAAGGTGTAAATCAAGAGGAGAACACTTTTATGATTCTCTACAGGGCTTAACTTCTCCAAACAGGAACTTCTAACAAAATGAATGAAGCAGACTATGCACAACGATACAACTTTAAATATAGCCTTATAGGTAGCATTGTGTCTCCTTATATAGTAAGAAAGTTAACATTAAGCAGTTCATATCCCAATAACCAGAACTCAGAATTCGAAAGAGATAAGCTGAGTGCCTATAAAATTTATAAAAAATAAAGAACTTTAGGATTGACTAAGGACTTAGCTCCCACAAAAATGGAACTTTTCAAAATAAAAAACAAGCATATGATTCACAATTCTACACTATTCACCCAGCCATCTACCCCCACAGCAAAAGCAAAAGCAAAACCTAGAACTCAGCTAATTTGATGGCACTTCAGACATGGATAATGGACAGAATTAGAGGCAATTTCAGATATGAAAATAGGTAAAATAAATAGGTCGGTATACACTAGGAGATAGTTTAGGACTCGGAGTATTTCGAGTTAAACAAGTACTTCTCCTGATATGCTGCAAATGTGTTATTACAGAAACGGATGAGGTGAAATATACCAAAAGTGGAATCAGATGACACTGTAAGGTCGAGTTGCTATTAGATATTATTTGGTGTTCAAGTGTTAAAATAGAGCTGTAGATATAATAGAAGGAGCTCTGGAGATATTATATTCTTACCTGAATCGAAAAATCCGAACGAAGGAGCTCTGGAGGAGGAGAACCGTGCGGTAGGTTATCGGGAGGGAGTATTTGATCGAGAGAGAGGAAGGTGAGCTGATATATACAGGGAAGGGATATTTTTGTACATTCAAATAAATATAATCCCACAATCACTTTTTTACCAAACATTCCAACTTTAACTTTTTCATTTTAATCACTTCTATTCTCAAACACTCCCAACTTTTACCATTAATCACTTTTCCAACAATCACTTTTCAAAATCACTTTTTTAAAATTTAAGCAATAGCAAACATAGCCTAAACCTTTATTATATATTAATAAATATTAGAAGTCTAATCATTTGCCCCCAATAGAAATAATTGATTGCCCCCAATAAACAAGGTTCCTCCCCACCAAAATGAAGACGGTGAATTGAAGATATTAGCCCCACTAGGTAATTGGTATGATGTTGAATTTATTTCGAAATACTGTATTATGTATCACACAAGTGTCAATTTGAAAGTTGGTTAATACCCTATGTACTTGTTTAGTACCTAGCTAACAGGTAATCCGTATATGTGTGGTGGTGTTGTTTACCATAAGGTCATATTCTATTTTTAATTTTTATATAAATATAAATATTAAAAAATGTCAATAAACTTATTATAATGTTATTAATTTATTACAGATTATTGATTTATATCAATTATATTTAATTTAATTAATAAGTTATTGAAATAAAGCAAAATGACTCACTAAACTATCAGCGCTTCTTTGTAATTTTCGACTCGATTTTCACTATGTGTCATCCGAAAACAGTCTTTCTGTGCTTTAGTGCAAGGGTAAGGCTGCGTACATCCGACCCCCCTTACCCCACCGTAGGTGGAGCCTTTGAGGCCCTATTGTAATGATGATGATGAATAAGTTACTGAAATAGTTATACATCTACTAGAGGATAGTAATTTACACTTACAAAATGGAAAGTGTCATATAGTAAGTTAAAAATCCTAAATGTATATTACTCCCTCCGTCCCGCTAAGATTGTTCCATTTTACCTTTTCGGGAAGTCCCACTAAGATTGTCCCATACCAAATTTGGTAAAGATTGTGTGGCTCTAAATCATTCTTACTTTATTCTTACTTTATCAATTTAATATCAACCACACAAACCCACTTTTCTTAATAATCGTGTCACCTTCTTTCGTCCCAATCTTAGTGGGACGGAGGTAGTATATGTTTAATTTTAGATAGTTAAATTCGATTAGATTGGCCGAAACTTATTCAAGTGACACATCAAGGTTGGCCGAAACTTATTCGAAACAGATAGTTTGGAAAGTCGATTATTCTTTCGTGACACATCAAAGTCGATTAGATTGGCCGAAACTTATTCAAGTGACTTTAGTTGTATGGAAAGTTAAACTCATCAACATCAACTAAGTATTTATATTTAAAATATAATGTGTTAGCAGATGAAATGTTTGCTAGTTTGAAAAGTCTCGATGATCTTTTACATCCTTTGGTGTATTAGCTTTTAAAATGAGCATTGACTTTACCAATTGTAAAAATTAAACAACCGTATGAAATAGTGAAGACTAATTTGTATAATAGATTCGTGATAACTTTGTGAGTGATCTTCTAAGTTGTTTTATCGAATAGACGTGATTGAAACTGTTACAAATTAAACTTAAATTTGGCGCGAACAATAGTGATATACTTCGTATTTTTTATCAAATCTTTTGATATTGTAATATTACATTAATACTTCGATAATTTTTGGAAACGTATACCATACAGCCGGCTGTACGGCTGGGCACCGTACAGCCGGTGGCATTTTTGTAATTTTGATGAAGTTCACGATTTGTCGTAAATGAGCATTGATGTAATTTTATTGAGCATCGAGTCTGTTCTTCTGAGTATTAAGAGCCTAACTATGAGCACCCGTGGTCTCTGCTTCATACCTTCTAATTCAGTTTCTTTTTATTAATTTCCGTTTTTAAAAAATTCTTAAATTGTGTTTGTAATTAATTTCAATATGTCAATCTATTGTAGTATGATATGTTTGATATGTGCATCATTTTCAAATGAGCATAAACCAGTACCAAATGAGCATACCTAATTTACAAAATGAGTATCAAAAAAATCAAAACTTCATTTGTGTATGCTCATTGATTTTGGGCGTTATATTTAATATATGCATCATTTTAAAATGAGCATAAAGCAATACCAAATGAGCATACATAATTTACAAAATGAGTATAAAAAAATTTAAAAGCTCATTTGTGTATGCTCATTAATTTTGGGCGTTATATTTGATATGTGCATCATTTTAAAATGAGCATAACACAGTACCAAATGAACATACATAATTTACAAAATGAGTATCAAAAAATTCAAAATATCATTTTGTGTATGCTCATTGATTTTGGCGTTATACTCATTTAAGTTTAACATAAAACTCATTTTTAATGTGTTTAATATTTTGTTGTGTATGTTCATTTCTTTGAGGCGTATACTCATCTGAGTTTAATATAAAACTCATTTTTAATGTGTCTAATATTCAGTTGTGTATGTTCATTTTTTTAATGTGTATACTCATTTGAGTTTTTTATAAAACTCATTTAAGATCA